GGAAAAGATCTCTCCACTGAGGAATTCGGTGTTTTGTTGCTAGCTGAAAACTAGAATTAACTGCTTCAATAAAGTAAAACACAGGCACTTGATATTGTTCAAGTCGTAGCTGCAATGGCATGCCAGCGATGGCATTTTATGGTCACTCTTTAAAATAGCAGAACCTTAAATTGTCTCATAAATGCAGCTGGAAGGGCTAAATGCCCAAGAAAGCATTAAACTAGTAATGACAGGAGAACACATTAGAGCAAACTGAAAGACTTTGGACTAGCATCCTGCAAGCCAGCAGATCACTGGTGAAAACATCTATACCTCCACGTGAGGTATAGATGAAATCTATATCCATGAAATCTGAAGATCACTTACTATAAAATTTTAACATTAATCTTACAAAACACAGAAATTTTGAGTGCATTATTCTATCTTCTTCAAATCCATGAGTCACTTAATGCTTCCTCCCAAATTCTATGTTCCTTTTCTTCCATCTCTGAATCTTACTGAAATCAATGGCAAATCTCACACTAATATCAGCTGGAGCTGGAATGCAGATTAAACACTTATAAAGCGTCTGCTTCTTGTCCTGCCTAAGATTCTGGATGGTATCCTGGTACATGATGTGATAGCCAAATAGGAAAACCACATGCCAGGTGACATGATACTGATCCAGTCCTTACAGCCAGCTGTAGTACAGGCAGGGCACAGAAACAGCCCTTTGCAGCTTTAGTCCCTCTCTCACACATCCAAGTTGTCCCTACATTTTTCCCTCCAATCCCAGAAACAGGAGGTACTTTGTGCGGTTACATCCAGGTCTGGGTCCCGGGAGCAGCTCCACTGCTTCAACTGGAATAGAGACAGGCCAGTGCCAAGCACTTTAGAAAACTGTTTTGAAACTTCATTTGGAGTCTGCAATATGAGACCAACAATTAATCTTGCTAAAACAAACCCCAGATAAATAATAACTTAATATTAATATTATTATTATTAATAATAGTAGTAATAGATCAGTAAATCTTTATCAGCTTTCACAGAAGTACCACATCATTCCTTCAAGAGAACAGAATTCCAAGGAAATGTTACCTAGACTGATACACATGCACCTGCCAAATCCCATCTGCCTCTTCTCAGACTGTAATTTCTGAATCTAAATGGAGAAAGATTAGCAGTGCAGTGAACTTCAGTTTTCAAATGAAATCATACATACTTCATTGGCACATTTGTAAGATTAAAACAAAGATGCATCAGCACTCAAATAATGAGATTTCTGAGATGACTGTCAAGTAGCTCCCAGTTTGTGTTTTGCTGAGCTATAGATAGGTCAAACCAGGCACGAATCCCATGGGACTCTTGAGGCTCATGAATGCTTCCATTTCAAATACCACAATGTCACCTTTGAAGAAGTGTTTGTGAGAAAAGCGTATTACTAACAAACTTGAAATCAAACGGAATAAAGTATTTCTGAAAGGTGACAAATGATTTGCATTGATGGCACTTTACCCACCCCTGCAAACATACAGCACCTGAAAAATCTTTCCGAAGAATACCACAGAGGGGAGGAAAGCCATGGTTCTTCTTTTCAATTATTTGAACCAACAGGGGAGGCCAAACAACTCTGTCAGGACTCCTGATAAGGCTGTCCTCTGTGTGCCTCAGTTTCCCATTTATCAAGCAAATATGACAGCACCTGTGCCTCTTTGCAGGCACACATCAGACTATGCTCATCTGTGGTATTATGTAGCCATCAGGGACTTTGGGAGAATGTGCAGAGGCTCGGGTGAGAGTTGGGACCTGCTGTGAAATCTGGCAGTTCAGCAGCTTTCCTTGGCTGCATGACACTGCTCTTCACACCAGAACACAAGTGCCTGGGGCAAATCCAGAGGAAGATGATGGAAACTGCTGTTGTCCATCCTCCCCTAGGATATGTCCTTCCTGAAACACAACGGCTTTGTCGTTTCCAACTCCCTTTCCCTGAATTGGCTCTTTGTGAATATGCCTCTGGGTGTGATTTTCCTTTTTCTTTCTTTGTTTTTTTTTTTATAACAGTAATTTCCACAGCAAACCCATTATACTCATATGTAGAGGAGACTGAAACTTCAGAGGAGAGAAGGCACAGACTTGTTTTGGTGCCCTGGGACTTCATATTACTGCCTGCAAATCAATCAGTTTGCAGTTGTTTGACTCAATCTTCAGATAAACAAAGCCCCCACTTCACGAGTGCTTAAGGGTCTGCTGTGTCCTTGCAGAGAGCTCCCTTTGCTCAGTGTAACTGCAGAGGAGACAATTTACATCACCTCCCTAGCTATTAAGTATTGGCTTTTTAGATATTACTGGTTTCTGGAGCGGAGTTTATAGGACATTTTCCTGCTCTTCAGGAACTGCTGACCAGTATTTCTCCTTACATCTTTTTCCTACAGGACTACTAACACTGTATGCTCTTGCCCATACCCATCAGCTATACCCAGCAGATGATCATAAACGAGATGAAAATCTCTAGCTCTAATCTATGGCAATAACGCTTACAGGCTTGGGGGGCACAGCCCCAGAGAACTCTTGGGTACCACAGACATTGTTGCAACCAAGAACTGAGAGTAACCACTTATATGACAAATGAAAGGATCTACTTTGTTGCATAAAACATCCTACAGCATGTCTTTCGTGGACCTCTGGACTTGCAGCATTCAGGCCCAGAGGGTATCAAACACCCTGGTACTTTCTCCCAGGTAGGCTGAAGAAGCTTCTGCAGAAGCTGGGGCCCAGCTGCCCATCCAGTTCTCACAGCTCACCTGCTCTGAGGCAGGCCCTCTATCACAATACACAGAGCTACTGACAGCACTATTAGAAGCGCATATCAAGACACTGTAAGTGAGCAAATTCAGGGCACCAACTTTATCAACAGCTTATGGCCCACAGCTTCTGTGCTTGATGGCTCAATAGATCAAGCACAAACCTGGCATCCAGTGGCACTCCCACACTACTCCTGGCTCTGCTGCTGATTCACTTCTGTATCTCTTGTCCTATACATTTATAATTGGTGATATTATACTAATACCTCACTGGGTGGAGCAAGGATTAGTCAGTGTTTGCTTGCATTCACCTGTTAATATGCAACACTCTCACTATGTTAACCATTATTATTCCCTCTTACATTGTGCCTTACAACAGGCCTTTTGCCTGGGCCTATAGTCACTGGATGAAATCCAAAAGCCCTTTCCTTCTTTTCCTGCTTCACAGTGAATGAGATGAATTCAGCAGAAATGTCACCTGAATCGACACCACCCAGTATTTAGTGTATGGTGTTTAAGTACCAAGATAACAGTAAGCCAAAAACTTAGAGACTCCCTATAATTTTGCCCACTGATCCCTGTCCCAGGTAAACAACCCTTGTTTAACACTGGCTAATGCAATATTGTCTATCAGCACACTCCTGAACCCACAGTTACTACTGACACACTGTCTGTCTTCTCTGTAATCATTACTCTTCCTTGGCTCAAATAGCTTCATCTTACCCAAGTCCTCTTGATTCTCAGCATTTCTTTTTTGCTCAGTGGGATCCTCATGAAGCTTCAGCAATGGCCTATTAATACCTCTGACATTCCCAATCACCTATTTTAGATTCTTTATAACAAGTATACACATCCCTCCTCTTCAATAGAGATATTAGCAATTTTCTTCAGCATCTTTGGCTTTAACATGGCCAATGCTGCATTTCTGATTTTTTTCTTGCCACCATTCTATCTATTCCCTTTATTATTAATTCTGCTACAATTTTCCAATATCACTTTCAATTCATACAGATTTGTGAAAATTCTTCTTTGTGAACACTTCTTCCCTAGTGGTATTTTCAAATTTCTCCTTTTCTTCCTCCCTGAAAAGACCTATGCTTTATCTCAGCACTACAAACTCCCCCCTCTTTTGGCCTCCCCCATCCATATTCCCCTCCAGAGCTCCTTGAAAACAGACCTGTCAAGACCATCTTGACCATCAAGACCAATTTCTATCCTACACCAGTTTGATCTCATATTTAGCCAGCTTGTGCTGACTTGCCAAAGGTTACATTTCTTAGACTCTATTTGCTTATCCAAGTGTCTTAACAATAGAACCCCTCACTTTTGCGTCACCACAGAGCAAGTGAGATGGGCACAGTCCTGATCTGAACCAGGGAAGGTGTCTGCACAGCAACCCAAGACATTTAGCTGGAATGCAAGGAGTTAAATGGAGTTACCTGAGCAGCCACTAAACCTGCATCAGGCTCATTTAGAAGCTCCTCACAAAGATCTTTCTTCCTTTTTTTCCTCACAAAATTGCCATTCCTTGCTGACCTCTGCAAAAGACTGTAACTTTTTTCTGCAAATGACTCCTACAGTTAACGTTAGTAGGAAACCAACAGGCTGATACTGGTTTAAGGGACAGCTAGAAATAATTAATACTGCATTCCACTTGCAGTAATGCAGACACGTCTGTTTCCTCTTCCTCCCACTCTCCTTTATTGTGAGGAGCAGTTCCTGCTAACACCTGCAAAACACATATATTTTGTGGCCTGATCCTGTTCAGAGCCTCAGGCAGTGCAGTCATATTTAATAATGATCTTGCACAACAAAAGCCTGTCACAGTAGTGATGAGACAATAGTTTCACAGTATAAAACTGGTCCTGATAATGACGATGATAAGGTTGCACAACAACTCAAGGAAAGACAGATCCAGATTGCCACTGGTTGCACTGTTGCCAGCTCTGCCTTAATGACACACAAAGGTTTTTCAAATGTGCTCTAGCCCTCCTTGATTGCTTTGAGAACCCATAGAAAAAAATCAGGTTAACTTTTCTGCAAAGGTAACACTTCCAGTCACGAGTTTACACACTTTGACTAGTGTGTTTTCCTGGAGGAACATTTTTAGCTTTACAGCACAAAGAAATATGTAAAAAAGGTATGTTCTCTTCTCCCTTCCCATCTCTCTCATCATGAAGTGTAACAGGAACTGACTGCACTTCAGTATATAAAAAAAGCCAGAATATGAGAACTTCTGGTTTTCCTCTAAGTAAAATCTGAGTGTGAGAACTAAGAATTACAGAAGCAGGCATTACAGGGCACTGGAAGTCACAGTGGATTTTAGTTTGCACTGCTTTTGGCAGGTGAACTGCAGAGATGCCCACTGAGAAGGCACGTGGGGAAATTCCAATGATTATGTATGAACCGCGCCATGAGCCCTATGCACAAGAACCCTCTGCACCAGAGTACTGCAGTCAAGAAGGTAAGCAGGCTTCACTGGGAGGGTTTTGGAAAGAGCACCCTCTTCGTGGCTGTGTGGCAAACATTGACAGTGTACCTGAGCCAGCTCTAAAGGGCCCAGCTTAGCCAGGACATGATGAGTTTAGAAAGTACCTATGCCAGAATATAAAACCAGAGTTGGGGTAGGCAAACTGATACAATCTCCTAACAGAAACATCACTTAAAATGGCAAAAGAACATTTTTGTTGGTTTAGTTAATAATTTTTGAAACAACATATGCTTTATTGGAAAAAGAATTGCAGTTGTATCTCTACAATAATTTCATATCTCTAACAAGCAAATGTTCAGCCAGCAAACTGTACTTGGATAGGCTGTCTTGCTTGAATTGTAATCTAGTTTTCCTGAGGACTGGCCTTTTCCCAAATGCTCCTGCTGCCCAGAGCTGCCATCCCTACATGAGTCAGTTCTGCAGCCAGGTTCTATAGGGACGAACAACCCCTCCCCACTATTGTACCATGGGGAAAACATCATGACTGAGTGCCCATTCAGCCCAATGACTACAAATGTGGACAGCTGCTGCTCTGCTGGGATGGCTTTTCCCTCTGAAAGTAGGCATTGCTCTCACACCTACATAATTACCTCACAACACCTCTTTGTCTTGTGCCTGTTCAAGCCCACACTCATTAAAAGACACACTGAGATATCAGTGATTTTACCTTTGTTACCCTCCTGCTATTGAGGAAATTGCCATTCACCAGACCGGGACTGGAACAGAAAACCAGAATGGGAGGTCAGAAGGTGACTGATAAGGCTAGATGTGTCAGTACTGTGCCTCTAACCCTGACTCATTGTCAGAGCATTTTATTCTGATGAGCTCTCTCAGTAAGTGCTTTTGTCTTCAAAGACCTCTCTGGCCTCTTTCTAAAGTCAGACGAGCTTGCAAGAGGCTGAAGAGAAAAAGTCACTTGTGAACTACTCAGCCAAGGGATGGGCACTCAACACATGTTAACACTGAGCTGCAGTGTCTTGTCCTTGCAGATCCGTCACAAAAACACATAAAGTGTTATCTCACTTTTGGTAATATTCCTATTCTAAATCAGAAAGAAATCCTTTACCTTTTAATTTCTTTACATATTTGTTTTTCCACAAACCCCCCTCAAAAAAAAAACAACCAAAAAACCAAAACCACCCCCCCCAAAAAAAGAAAAACAACCCAACAAAAAAACAACCACCCAAAACAGAAACAAACCCCCCCCAACAAACAACCTGGCAACTATAAACACCCAACCATTAAAACCAAATGCTGCTGCAAATCTCTACCACTTCTGGCAAGCCATTCAAGGAAACATTGCTACCATTTTTTCAACTTTGCCACTATATTTTGTCTCACTTTGGAAAAATCCAGTTTTTCATCTCATTTTGTATCCGTGTGGGCTTATTCCCTGTTCAAGCTCACACTGTTCCTGCAAGGCTCAATTGTGCAGGCTGGACTGCCAGGTCAATGCTGCTTTGCCTGGGGGCAAAAGCTCTGATGCTGTGCAAGCTTGATCAAACAAGACTTCTCACAGGGACTGTCCTCCTGCTGCAGACCACATCTATGCCAGCTGGCTGTAAAGTTTTATACATTAATTTATTTTGAATGTATTCACGAATGTATATTTTACATATTCATTTATTTCACACTCAGGTAAACTGATTACACTCCTAATCTGTGAGATCAGAACTAAAGAATTAGAAAAGCACGAGGTGTCTTAGTCACCAGCTTCCTTTCTCCTTTCTCCGTAACAAAAGTAAAAAGATCTTTAATTTTATTTTCTAGAACAAAGGGTATGATGAAAATACTTGGAAGCTGAGGGCAGATAAAATTCGAGCTAGAAAAGGGTCTAAATACTAACAGAATTTCAGTGTATCACTGGAACTAGTTACAGTGGATATTTTATCAATAGAATCCTTAAATTAAAACCAAGTATCATTTCAACGGTATGCTGGAATAGATGCATTTACTGCCTTTGTGTAGAAAAAACAATTTGGTTTCTCAGTTTATGTTATATTGGAAATGAGGCCAGCTTGCCACTGTGGGCTCTTTTGCCTTTAAAATTCCATGGTTCAACGCAGCATTTTTGCCCTGTACTTCACTGAGCTACATCAGGCCCCACCTGCAAGGCACCTCCCAATACAGCTTCTTATCAGACTCTGAATGGGGCTTTCAGGAAGCATTAAGCTGTACGCATTTTTACGGTTTTCCCTGTTTTTCTTTGCACAGGGGGTTATGAATATCCTGCTCCCCCACCTTACTCCTATCGGGAAACAGCCACCATTGAGCAACCAGGTAAGTGCCAGGGGACTGTGCTTCTGATAATTTTTAAGGTTCTACATGCTAACAAAAGTGAAATATTTTTAGTTTTAAAATCAACACAGAAGATGGAGTTTTCTGACCACATCCCCCCCCCCCCAGTCTAAGAGGCTGGAAAATTTCCCAAGAAATGTTGGAAGATTAAAGATGAGAGATTCGGACTTGGTTTTCCAGCATTAGATAATCTACAGAAGCCCCCAATTTATTTTTATTTTTATTTTTTTTTTAATCAGCTAGAAACTAGGACTTTCAGAACAAACAATTTTAAGTCCAGTGTATTTTGTTGTTCCTGTTCTAGCCACTTTTATGGAAGTGAAGAAGCTCAAAGGGGACGCTGAGGAAAGGCTTCAAAGAACAGTCAAATAACATCGCTTACAGGAGGAGACACATAACATTGTTAAAAATCACTAAGACCAGAAGGCAATTAAACTCAGATATACTATATCCTATCTATCTAACAGAAAATACCTTCCCACTCTGAAAGTTTGCTTCAGGCTACAGTATGAATGTACCCTAAATTTGGTTTAGGATGTTTAAAATCCTAGTTTTCACTGAAAACATTTCTGAAAAATAGTTTTCATGTACCTACAAAAGCCATGCCCCTCAAGAATTATGACAGTCAGGTCCAGACTGAAAAAAACATGAGGGAAGCTATAGAATTCACTGAGTAAGCACAGCACCAGCATACAAGTAATGACATTTGTATGTTAGAATAACTACCCCGATGAATTTGTTGTAACTACTGAAAAGTTGATCCAGAAAGTTCTTCTATAGCCTTCAAGTATCTTCTTCAGGGAGAACATGCTTTTTCATATTATTTTAAGTATCAGAAGATAAATTCTCTATGTCAGAGTGGCTAGTGGAGACTGCCTGACAATGAGGGTTATCGTATCGGCAATTCCTTGCATATGTCCTCATCTGGGTAAATACTCGCTGTGGGTAGAAGCAACATACTGGGATACACAGAACAAGCATTACTGTAGTTCTTATCAATATACTTGAAATCAGCAATAGGACCATACATGCTTCTAGATCAGCCATATTAAGAACCTGCGTTCTCCAATTAAGACTTACTTGTAAAAGATTTCCTTTATTTCTAATTTTGCTCCTTCTCATTTCCTCTTGCTCTCAGTTTACATGGTGTCTCAGCCTCCAATTATCGTAGCAGGAATCTTCTCAAGCAAACCAACATCCACAATATGCCCTTCTTGCCGCCAGCACATCACCACACAGGTCACCTACAGACTGGGCAAACTGTCCTACCTTCTGTGCACCAGCTTGTGCATGGTTGGGTAAGCTTTCATGCATGCTTTGAAGATTCTTCATAGCAGAAGGTTAAAAAAGTATTAAAAGCCCAAAGTTCTAGCTAGTGCTTGTATAGATGGTTTTTACCCTTCTCTACTTGGAAATTAGTTATTCTGTCCATTCTAGATACAGTCATCATGGCTACAGGGGATGCAAACTTGCTAAATTTAACTGACAAGCAAAAATTAGTACAACACTGTCTACTGCCCCAATACAATTTAGGATTCAGGCTCAGAATCAGACTAATGCATCAGGTGTTAATGGTGAAGATAATTTTTTGGAAGATACTTCAAACATTAGAAGACTTGAGATTTATGCAGTGAAATGGCAGACAGAATAAGGCAGAAGAAAACCACAGATGTAGCCAAGCAGAAAGCAAAGTTAGTAAATCATTCATGCATGTCCATTTCCTCTTTGGCTGTAGGTGCTGTTTTGGATGCTGCTTTGTACCTTTCTTTGTGAGGATCTTCAAGGACGCAGACCACTACTGCCCATGCTGCCATTTTCATATTTATAGATACAAAAGACTATAGAAACAAAGTTTATGCAGCCAGATGGCATCAAGTCTCTGTTTCCTAACTGCATAAGATTCTACACATAAAACTACTGGTATGAAATATATAGGAGTAGGCTTAGGTTCTGCAGTTTGCTCCCTTGATGGTGAATCTGTCTGGAGTTTACCATCACATAGTTGGACTTACTTTAAAACAAAAAGTCTTGAAGACTAATTTAGTGTCACTTGTATTTATGCTCTATTTGATTCATTGTCCTGAGCTGTGAAGTGACCAGCTCATGAGTACTTACTTCAGTGCTACTACTGCTGCTCTCAAATCTCCAACCCAGATGGGACACAGACTCTTCTGGACTTTTCAACCCATCACTAACCGAGAGGTTTGGACACGCATATTTTAGGGAAGCACTTACCTTCTATGCACTGGAACTGACAGGCTGGGATTTCATCTCTCTCTGCTCTTCTTCATAGTACTACCCCTGCAGGGCTGTGGGTGGTACAGTGTAGCTGATTATTTATTAATAAAACACTAAGTTATGAAACTGTCTTTACTGTATTACATACATGGTAAGAAAATAAACTTGTTATTGTTAACAATACTGGCAAAACATCTGTTTGCATTGCTTCCATGACCCACTGCATCCTGAGCGGAGACACTGGTCAGCCTGGGACACCCCGTTTACAAACCAAGAACCAACAGGCAAACACAGAAAAATCAGCAAGCACAGCTTGGAAAAAAGCCACCAGTACCACAGCACAAGGCCTTCATTTTACCTCTCGGCCTCACCACTGCAGTGCACCACCTCCCAGACAAGGCCTTACTGGGCTTTACACTTTGCAGAGAGCTTTCACAGATCTCATCCAAAGACACTTGCAAAACCAAATTTCTGCAGTTACATGCCCAGAAGGTGCCAAGAACCTGCTCAACACTGACAGGACCAGCTGCTGTTTATTGCTGGCTGGAAAAGTCAACAGAAGAATGTAAGAAACCCTTGATTTCAACGTTCTACCACAAGCGTTTTCGTGTTAGTACCATAATTTCAGTGGCAAGCGGGGTGCGTGTCTGGCAGCACTCAGGCTGATCCCCTGACATTGTCTGACTATGGATGAGGTACATTGCCTGCGCTCCAAAGGATCCCTACCACCTTGCAGTTAAAATAACCTTTAAACTTCCCAGTTCTTCTGACATTAAGTTTGATCGAGTTATTTCTTGTAGCTATTTAGTCCCCTTAAGCTGCAAAAATTAAAGTGTCCCCCTCAACAGCCATTTAGCCACATCGGCTCCAGCTCCGCGGGAACCCCCTCGAGGCCGGGACTCGCCGTAGGAGGGGTTTGCCGCCACCGGCACGCACAGAACCCTCCTCTCCTCAGGACACCCCAGGGGGACACCAGAGAGCCCGACGGCCTCCCCCGGCGCAGCAGGCCGCTCCGGGAGGGCAGCCCGCACTCGCCGTCCTCCCGCGGCAGCACGCCATTCCCCGCTGACACCGCACCGCGCCTAGCCGGCACCGCCAGAGGCGGCACACCGAGCCCTCAGCGCCACAGCGCCGGGCGCCTGAGGCAGTGCCCTTCCCGCCACACTGCGCCCCCTTGTGGGGCCCCTCGCTGCAGCAGGGTGGATGGATCCGAGCTCCAGGCCTCGGACGGCACAAGCCGCGGTCCTGAGCTAAACAAGAGCATTGGATCAACGCCAGCGATAACGCAGAGCGAGCGTTCTCCAAGCAGTTCAAACCAGAGGGAGTATCAGGCTGGGGCAGCGTGGCAGCACCACAAACAGGCACGGTGACCTGCTGAAGGTGAGAACAGCAGCACTGAGGGACACTGCTGAAGGAAACCGTGGCTACTAGCCAAGCACAAACTGTCTGTAGAGCAAGCACAGCATGATTCAGCATGCCCGACATCTGCAGCAATATGGGCCACAACCCGTGCTGATGAGCATCGGACCAAGAACAGCGCCTGGAGCAGACGTGGCCCTCCTTAGGACCTCAGCACCAGCAGCAGCCAAAGCGAACTACCTGGAAACACAGTGCCTATCACCTGTGTGAGTTACTGCTGTACGCACGCTTAGAAACTCACAACCTCCAAAAGAAGCACAGGCTCCACAGTGCAGTTCCTCAAGGGAGGCATTTCTATCGAGGCTGACACATTCCACCTCCCAGCCCAGTGGTACAATTGTAAGTGCCTTCTGTTGTACCAGGTCAGTAATGCCCCATCCAATGGGGACCCAACCTACTTCAACCCAGGGTGAAATTACTACCACACGAATTAAATCCACAAGCACTCATGGAGATGTCGGCCCAACAGGTTTCATGCCATTTCACACGTTATTTTTAAATGTTAAGATTTTTCTCCATTTTTAAATCTGGCTGTGAAACAGCAAGCTTTGCTGTTAAGTAGTGGTAAAGAATGCATGGAACCAGTAACAGGAGAAAAGGTGACAGAGCAAAACCCCACATGAATATATACATAAGAAATTATTTATATGATTTAAGATGTACAGGAATCATTTAACAGAAGTAGTTGGATCATTTTTACATCAATAGTTGGAGATGTTTAAACAACAATTTACACAAGTATTTAATAACAAAATGCAGGCTTCCAGGCACAGCCTGGTGGCTGGGAAATGTAATTTACTGCTGCTGTGCTTGGTACACAGCTAACTTCAACACCACCTGGGATAGAAATTATGTTGAGCACAGATTTGAAACCAGATTTGGTCACAGCACAGGTGAGTATTTCCCCTTTTTCTGACCCTAAAGACCAGGCTGGTTTAAAAGCCAACAATAAATGACACCACAGCATTAACATACCAAACACTGATGCTCTCTGCCTCAATATCCAAATCATTCAGTTCCTCCAAGGAAAAAACAAGAGTTCAAAAACCGGAAACTGCCACAGAAGTCAACGTTTGCCTTGTGGCCAGCTCTCCCTACACTGTGAATGTCATTCCTAACACACAGGTCAGCTGAATTTATCACCCTGGTCTAACCAAAATCACCCTGACTTCTGAGTGACTCCTTAGCTTTCATACCCAAATCTTCTCTAAAATGAACAGACAGGACACCAATCCAGTGTTTATCCTAGTCTACTTTATTTACAATATATACAGTTCCTACAGAAAATGATTTCTCACAAAGGATATTCACCAGCAAAACTACGGCACAGCTTGTGTTTGGGCCCTGACACCTGCAGCCAGCAGAGAGCCCACAGGGCAGGGCGACTGGGCTCCAGTGGGATGTCAGATGGGATGTGGGCAGGATGCTGGCGTGCCAGCTCTGCAGGGGCAGCAGCTGAGGTAGATCCAGTATGCAGGAGGCACTGCACGTTCAGCACATCCTCCGGCACATCGGCCCGATCCCTCCAACATCCTGGGGCAGCACAGCTTTGTCCAGGTGTTGCTCAGTAGGCCTTCTTGTACACAGGGTGTTTGGTTGGCTGTCACTCTCTAATCAGCAGCTATGTCACTGGTGTGATTTGCTTAGATCTCACAGAACGCTTTGGACTCCTTTAGGATAAAAGGCACTATGTAAATCTACAGGAACAATGCTTGCTATTTTCCTAGGGAGAATTCAGACGGGCCATTTAACATAATTTTGCTCTGATGATCTGTACCATGAAATTACGTCCTTATTGCTTAACACTTCTATTAACTTCATTTAATGCATTCACTGCTTATTATCCAGATAATTCCAAAATCTGAATAAAAAATTTGAAAGAAAGGTAATTTTGAGGACTGTATTGTTGTAAATACTTTTAGAATGAATTAAATATACTGCACCTGAGAAACATCCTGTCTTCCTCTTCTCTTTGTAGGTGTTTCCACTTTTGAACAAGTTACTTGTGCTCCAAAAAAAAATTACTTTATTTTTTCATTAAAAACCTTCAGTTATTGAGAACTGCATCTGGAATGCCTGAATGTATCATCTCTTCAAAACTAGTGAGGAAATAGCACAAACACTGAAGCACGTTAAAACTCGTCATCTAAAAAATCAAAAGGCACCCAAAATTTACTTCGTTAGTGGTATTCTCTTCTGAAATAGGAAGTATTGTGATTCCTTAAGGTACTTCCTAAAAGCTTCCAACATCCTATGCATGAACATGAAAAATTAGTGACATTTGGCTACAAGCTCATTTTTAGATCAGTTACTGTAACATTAAAGTCACAAAACATAATTAGGGCTTACTACTGCTGACCAGAGTCTCTGATTTTACCAAAATGTTTTGAATACAAATCCTGACATTTACTGAAAGCCTGCAGAGACAATACAAGTACTAGTAAGAACACCACTTGGATGGGGTTGTAATTCTCACCACTTTGATGCAAATACAAATTAAAGGAAAACTTTATCCACTTAAGGCAAGTCATTTAAAGCACTTCCCTCTACCTGGAAGCTCTGCACTCAGGTAACAAAAAAGAAAAGCCTTGACTAGAAATCAGAGACAATTAAAAGCACTGAAAGATATAAATTAAAGCAAACAAAAAAAAAATGCCTAAAACTTGAGCAATTAATTCATTTTAAAGCTAAAAGAAAGAATTAGATCTTAAAATTAAATTTACAAATCCTTGCTGGTGTTTTCAGTAATCACCAGAATCCATCTCAGAAAAATGTATAAAGGCCATCACATGTACTCACGCCCTACTAAACATTTACTGACAGGTCTGAGACAGGGAAGCTTCTAAGCATTTTCTGTTTTGGTTATGAATACAGGGAAGACATTACAGTGGGGATCTATTGCTCTATTAAGGAAGCTTACCTTTAGAGACTCCAGATTTTACTTTACAGCATTTATAGTATTAGACTTGAGAATCTGGACCACAAAATTTTGTACAGGCAGGCAGAGTCAAGTCTACCACAAAAACTCTACTACAAGCTTTACAAATGAACTAGTAAAATAAGTTCTTCCATTTGTCTTATTTGTACATGGCTCCTCCCTGGAAAACCTTTTATTGATTAAGCTCAAATTTGACTAGTTAGGAGGTACAAAACAAAAGCAAAACAAAAAAAAAACCCTCCAAACCCA